ATGAAAATTAAGCGAGAAGCGTACTCTCGTCGCGTAATCACGTCGCGCAAGCTGCAAGTTATTATTCGTATGTCCACATTATAAAATCGTAAATTTGATAGCGGAAGTTAATTTACGGTTTGATAATATCGAGCTCTGAATTACAAATTATTAGTATTATCATTGCGCCTCTGTATCTCTTTCGAGTTATTTCGCAGAATTTTCCGCGTCGAGCGTGACACATGCGCGCTTCGCGGTAATTAATAATTAATTATTTAAACAATTAATAAATTATTCCTCACGTATTCGGCGAGGGGTGCGTCTCGTTAAACATCGTTGCGCGACGTTCTCCGCGTCACACGCTACATTTTCGCGTCGGGATTTAAAAACGCAGAAATTTAATGACAGAGAGATATCATTCTCGTCGCATCCCGGTTAAGAGGGGCGCGAGAGAGAGAGAGAGAGAGAGAGAGAGAGAGAGAGAGAGAGAGAGAGAGAAATATGTCACAACGTCGTTGTGACATATATGCGAACGACAATGTCTCGCTCGCTCGGGCGCGCGTGTTTATCATAAAATTCTATAATAATTTATAACGCTCATAAACACTGATTACCATACGTATCGCGTTACGGTGAAACTCTTTGTTCGTATCCGTCGACATTAATCATCGTACAGGCATCGCGCGTGATTTATATTTATACCTGTCACCGTGAATACCCGAGCATCTGGCTCGCGCGTGGCTTTGTCGATTGTCCCGCGATCGCACCGAATTGCAAGATTGCTTCAGTCCTACGAGTTTGCTCTATCTAAACGCAACCGCGCAATGAGCTCGCGATGAAAGGAGTATGACGGGTGCTTCATGAGCTAACGGTTTATGCAACGTTATATATGGACTTGGTATTTCTACGTGCTGTGTGTGTCTCGAGGTATATATATATATATACCCGCGATATACGTTACGTCTTCCACGTGCACACGGACGGCGTTTCGCAACAGTCGACCGCATGCTTCAAAATGATGGTTTAATTCTAAAAAAAAAAGAAAAAAAAAGAAAAACATCCTCTCGAGCCTATCTCTCAACCCGGGTATTTTATATTTTTTTTTTCTTCACCCTTGACGTTAACGTTAAACGAGCTGGTCGAGTACCTCGATGATTAAACCTCGAATTAAAACCTCGTTAGAACGCAAAGTCCATCCGGGAGTAATTAGAATGTATCAACTCACGTCGGTCAATCGCGACTCCCTCTGGATTCTCCAGAAACCCTCCCCGATATTTAGCCGCCCATAATCCGGATTTGCATCCGTTCGTCTGAAAAAGTTAAGATCGGTGCCGAGCCACGTGTAGACGTGTACTCGCGCGTGCGCAATTGTATACCGATAACCGGGTAGATCGTAAAGAAGGGCCGTCGGGGATCACGAGAACATAACTCTCGCGGAAAAGACTCCAGGCGACCTCATCTCTATGTTAATCTTCCCTCCGTGCCCGCCATGCCGCTCCTCCGAGGAAGGAACAGGGTGCGCGACAGGATCTTCCTCCTCCGCTCCTCACCAACGTCGTCCTTCCTCGCGGCTCGCTCGCAGCCTCGGGGCTGGGCCGGCTTTTACCCGGCTTCAATCTGCTGGACCACACCGATTCCGCGATATTTGCTCACGCGACTGGAAATAGGATATGCGTCGTCGTCGAGTGACGAGCATGCTTCACGAGTTAGTATCGCGCGCGGAAGGAGGACTCGAGTCGATAGTAAGCTTAACAGGCTGCGCGTCGCGGCGATCTCACGCGAGACTTTACGCTCAGCTTGCTGAAATAAGAGCGGCCCCGTTGCGTTTCACAACGCATTTCATATTCCGCCTCTCTCCTCTGCGATGATGAGACAACGTTTACGTATTACGGTCTTGCGAGTACAACAAGACATACTGAGGCGTGAGAATGCACGCTATTGTCGCGAAGGAAAATTCTAACGACTAAAGAGCGGATAGAAGATCGATCTGACAGTAAGAGATTGCGAAACTCTAATGGCACGAGAACGGAGAGCACGAACCAGTGGGTTTCGCTCGAGTTTAACGCTCCGTTGCAACTTATCTCGTCTAAACTGCGATTGAGGTAATAAAATTAGGATTTTTTTGCTCAACGACCGGAACGACCTACCACGGTAATGCGTTCGTCGAATATTCAAGTATTTTAGGTCCCACGATTGAAATGCGCATAATTTCGGACAAATCAGCGATAAACGCGCAATGCCAGTCGGACCATGAATTCTACTTTATTTGAGGTCAATTACGAGCGCGAGCGCCGTCGTGCTTTCCTCAATGATGCGAAAATGTGTCGGTGACTGTTCCACCGTTAAATACAAAGTGACTCTATAAACCCTTCTCTCTCCCGTTTCCGAGAAAAAAAGGAAAAGAAAAAAAAACGAACGAACTGTCGCAAAAAGTATCACCTTGACTTCAGGGCTATTCGGGGAGCGACTTATTTTTGGCGTTCTCTCGGAGACGAGAGAGCGGAAGATCACGGCGCGTGCGGGAGTACCGCACGCGGTGGCAGAATGTCAGGCCGGAGGAACGTCTCGCCCGAAAACGGACGTAAATATCAATAAACGTCCGCGTGCATAACGGGGGAATTTTTTGGCGGCCCCGAGCGTTGGAATTAAAACGTGTACGCGGCGTGGCGCGGCGCCGATGTCGCGCGATATGCGCACTCGTGCGCTTTTATGCGTTCACGCGCGCATTATTTACGGCGAGGATTTTCAGCCGTGCGCGCGGAAATTATAGCGCGCATAGAGATGCCCGATGCCCGCAGATTTACGGAGCGTTAAACGCGACGAATTTACGCGCGCCTTTTCACGACGTTGTGCTCACCGCAACGGCTCTGACTTTATTATTATTCGTTTCGCGCCTACGCCGATGAACCGTGCTCAAACGGTCGGGCTACGAGTCGCGAAATACTCGTCAGGAACGAGCGAGCAGCCAGACGCGCGTAACAGAGGATATTTCACAAGGTGCGAGTCAAATTTCAAGTGATCGTGTCAAATTTTCAGCCGATCTCCTTTCGGCGAAGGTCCTCAATCGAGACATCTCGTGGTGATTCACGATCGTAACAAAATCAGCGACAAATGTCAAGCGTCGTATTTAACAGTTATGCGGTCTCGTTAAAAAATCGGTAAATCTCACATATGATTGGGAGATAATATTTTAGTATTAAATAAATAATATCAAATCTTCTCGCATTTCATTTCGCTTATGTCGCACCGGGGTTACGTTATCGCAAGTTCGAACAAATGTCATTTATCAAACGGAGATAATATCAATGGGGGGGGGGGAGGGGAATATTGATCAGCGCGTTTCACGTGTCATTCTACACAAATGTTAACCTCGAAGCACTGGGGAAACTCCCAGGCGAAAGGTCAATGCCGGCGGTCAAAGGGAGGGGCCCGGGAGGGATGCCCGGCGCGATATGAGATATGAAATTATTTACAAGCTCGGCCAATAAGCTACCAGAAAGCTATTAAAAGTTTTCGCGATCTAGAAATAACGTCCTCACTCAGCGGGATTCTCCCCGGGGAGCGATCCACCTCGGCAACTCTCCTCGTAACGTCTTCACGGCCGGCGGGAGATGCGTGCGGTCTGAGAGCGACTTCTTTCCTCTATTTCCAGTGCGCTTTTCTTCGGCCCCGTCACCGCCGTCGGGAAGAAGAAGCACTTCCGGCGTCCAGCGTTGAAACGCGTTCGACGGAAACCGCCGGTCGGCAAGATTCCCCTCGTCTTGCTCGTCTTCTTCTACCCCGTACGATCGTCTCGACGGGCGATTTGTCTTTCTATGCGGAGAGTACTCGATAGCGTTGCGGGATTGTCTAAATCGGAGATTCTCAGAGACGGCTCGCGATCGGACGAACACAATGTCTGTTAGGCAGGCATAGGCACTTTGGCGCAATTGAATGCAACTTGCAGAAATTCTGCGCCTTTTCTGCGACTCTTAATCTATTTTTTCTAATTTTCTTGTCTCATCACCGCACCATAAAAAAGATGAAAATTGAATGAGACGAAAATTCTCAGTTTAATCTAATAGCGATATAAGATTTTTTTAAATACTACATTAACACACAGTTTTTCTCGTAGCCGAAATACGAGTTGCGAATTTCGTAAAACAAGAGTAATCAGCTAAACGCGACACTGGCCACGTCTACAGTCTCGATGTGATTTACCGACACAGAGCTCGATGTTCTCCCACATCTTTAGTTCTGGGAATCGATGAACTCGCGTCGACGGCTTCACTTCTAGGAATTGTACAGTTCAGAGGGATCATATTGGAAAGCTGATAATTTCGAGCATTTAAATTACGTATGATTTTCCTTCTGGCTGTTCGAAATGAGTTAATAAAATAGGATTGAAAAGTTTTTAATTAATAGAGATAGAAATATCAAGAATAATGAATATTCTTTCTCAATATAATTTTCTAAAGGCATTCTTTGCATATAATTATATTAATTTTACTTTTTAGTTAGCACGAATACTGTTTTTAACGAAACGGTTAGAACAACGATATTGGGAATGTTACAACAATTTTGCAAAAATAGAACAATGCTAAAATTTTATGCAAGCCGCATTCAATCATGCATAAAGTAGCTATATCGGTTTAATAGACGTGTACACACATTTGGTAGGAGATGCTTGAGCTTGTCGAAAGATCACAATCGTATAAAAAACCCTTCTGTTTAATAAATAATATAATACCTGGAAATACATGTATAATGTGTTGGCGGCCCCCCGCAACCCGGCGACCTGTCCTCTCATTTGCTTTCTATATCCTGACTGATGTAGCATCTTAATTATTCCGTTTTAGCACCGACACAGCACCTAACACTGACACTAACACTAAACTCGCGTAAATTCGACTGAAGTGCATATTAGACAGCATAATGCCGACGAAAGTTCGATTCAACATCTCAAGATCCGGAACTTTGTACTCGCACATTCACACGCACGCATGAAAGGTACCTCCGTACTGATGTATTTATTCCGCGGTGTTTACTACTTGAAGCCGGCTCGAAACGTAATCGACACTTTCGACGCCCGAAGACTGTTTATTTACGCGACACGCGAAGGTGAGTTTGACCGACTCAAAAGAAACGTCTCCGTATTACTATTGATCGTCCTGAGTTTCTCGATCTCGTTTAATGGCGGACAACGACCGTAAGCGTCCCACGGGAGACTTTTTATGTAAAGATAGTATACTTCCGTGCGATTAGCGCGACGCGTATCTTTTCGTCAATCGAGCGGTAGGCGTCGCTGACGTCGCTGGCATCGCAGATAGCCGAACGACGCGCCTCCTTATAAACAGAGCTTTTGTTAGTGACGCGCGGTCTTACCGAACATTCGCAGAATATGGCGTCGTGAAGTGCTCGATCGGGTTCTCTCGTCGGCATTAACCGTTCGTTAACATGCGTTTCTCCGATTGAATCGCATCTTCGCGAGTGTCAGTGTCAGTATTAATGTCAGTGCCATAACGGAGTAGATCGAAGACGGAGTAGATCGGAGTAGACGGAGATGCTGAAAACGGTGGGCGAAGGACGCCGCCGACATGCGACCGACAACACGTCCTATGTTTTCAGGTGTGTTAAATCATATGCAGATTTCGGATTTTGAAAGGTATTTGACGACCTTGACGAAAATAAGGAAATACTGAAATTTAGATTGGTACTCTCTCTCTCTCTCTCTCTCTTGTGGCTGGTTAGCATACGATAAGTAATCATAATTTCACGAATCTGTGTACGTATGCGAGAGAACCATCTACCATATATATAACCTATACATATTACCTATACATATTCACAGTCTCTCTATAACCTATGTATGTATCTATACTTATTCAATACAACAAAAAATACCAACTTAAACAGTTGAATAATGGGTGATGAGTACAAATCTAAGTTTAATTGTGCTGTTAATCAATTAAAATTGACGAGAGACACTTACCGTGAAGCACTCCCTGGGAGAAAAATTTGTATTCTATGATCGAAGATTTCGTCATTTTTCTTGCGACAATTAAGGTTACATTTAGATTGCAAACTGTTTCGCATTGAAAACCGGTTGAAAGCGAGTTTCACTATATAAATCAGAGATCGACAAGTCGAAACCGCGAGATGTCGAAATTGACTATTATTTTTTACATGAAAATTGTTTCTCGTTCCAGCCGTTATTGGCCAATCCCATTTTGTTTTTGACAATAGCGTCGTTTGCGTTTCCTGTCGAAAACGATTATTAACTCGCTCTCTTGTTCCTCACTGTCGAATATTTATTTTTTTTCTGCCGCTACCATTTTTTTTCGAGGAATTAAAAACTAACAAAGGCTATCTCGTGTAAAAAAATTCCACTGAAAAATGACGTGGATGAAGGTTTAATGTCCGCAATTATTTACGTCGCTGATAAAACGTGTTGCGGGGTTTTGTGCTTCTCCGAGAAACATCACGTAGTGCACTCGAATGGCTAGCTATTCAGATTCAAATTTCGGGTAGGTCGTTCAAAATACCGTCGATTCATATTCTACTCGGTCTAGAATTTAGTTCATCTGGCCGGTCATAACGGAACATCGACGAAAGTTTTATTCGCGTAAAACAATCACAGAATTTCAGCATAATAAAGATGTAAGTTATAAAGAGAATGTTTTCGCAGAGAGAATGAGAGGAGGAAGAGAAAGTATAGGCATTTTTTATAATTTAGATAAATAATTTATCATTCATTATCAGTACACACACACACACACACACGTACATGCGCGCGTACGCGTATGTATGTGTGTGAGAAAAGAGTTCTAAATAAAAGTATACGAATTTTATAACAACGATTAAAATTGGAAAATCTTTTCATGAAAAAGATACAAAGTAGTTTCGTGTTTCTTCGAATTCGAGCTATGAAAAATGTGTTCAATAAATATATATAATATTTATACATGTAATTTGTTACATAAAGTTGCAAATGTGCAGACAAATTTATTCACACATACCTTACGTATAAAAGTCCTTTTTTATAACCTGATAAATTCTGCACGTCAGTCAAGGTCAAGGTATTCGAGCAATCTCGTCGGATGATCCCCTACGAGAACGTCGATACTCCCGTCACGAATCTCACGATTACCCGGTAGAGGGATGGGAGAGGGCGCGTTTCGGTCGTGGGTCGCGCGAAAGTGCAGAAACAAAGTTGGGACCCTCGTCGTTATCTAGAAACGACCGAATTCCACGAGGGACGTCTCAATCGTGTCTTCCCTGTGGATCGTTCGATTCACGCGACATATTAATTTCTGTTCTGGTCTTTAGCTCCGTGATAACGAAGGAGATTACTAACGTACCGCGACGGATGCGATCTAAACGGATGCGAAACTATATAAATAGTTATTACTCTCTTAATTAATATCCATTAATTTATACATCCCCTATATCTTCCCCCTAGGAATGTACTCCATCTGGAATCGTAATTAAATACACGTACACACGTATACACACGCACGACACGTTATCGCTCGGTAATAACAAGCGCCAAGGATCGCGCGGCGGGTCACCCTCCTCTCGCGAGATCTCGATCGTGTTACTTTCCACCCTGCCCTGTACTTTTCCCCCCTCCCTCCACCAACGCGTCACTTAGAAGTTACGAGCCTCTCCCGGAGATCGTTTAATTCGAGCCGCCGAGGTAAGGCCGCAACGGGGTCGAAAGGGAAGGTAACGGGATACCTAAAACTCCGTCACCCTCAAGATGCCGGCAAGCTACCCTCGTAAGTTTCTTCCGCCACCGCTTCTTCTTACTTTTAACTCCCCGCCTGTCCTCCGCTCGAGTCCGCGGAGAGAGCTTTCGCACGCACGTGTCTCGAGTTTCTCACCGGTGCTTTATTAAGCCGGTGCCTTTCCCTTTAATGGAAACGATTTCGGCTAGCTTGCATGGTACACACTAAGAGGGTGACGAGCGCATACTAAGGGATGATGCCGGGGATACTGACATGATCCCAACGAGGGCAAGATCCTAGCCGCTGCTCGTCTCATTGCTCACTATCGAGCGTTAGCGACCTATTTCATCAGAATACCTATCAGTATACTCTAGATCAACAACGTATTACATATTTCGCGAAATTCTAAATATAAATATAAAATGGATAAATAAAACGGAGACACGAGACTTGCTTGAAAATGTTCGTGAAAGCGAGCAAAGGAAAAATCGGGAGATTGCAGTCGATTTCCGATGGATCGTACATTGGAACGAATTGGAACATTGCAAAAAATTCACGCACGATTTTTGCACGTGACGTCTCGGACACGTGGAAACAAGCACGTCAGTTTCAGGGTCGCAGCGCGCCCGCGAGAGGCTCTTTGAACGGCTGAGAGACGCGAGGTCGGAACTTTTATCACGCGCGACATCGCATTAACAACGCGCGTGCTCGTATCGGAACTTCCACCGCCGCGAAACGCGTCTCGCGCCGTCGTAGCAGCGCCTGTTACCCGGACTGTTATTCCGGCCGTAAAAGTACTCTTCCGTCGTGGTCGGAAGAGGAGGCCGCCGGAGACCAGGGAGACGCTAATCGCGATGGGCTTAACGAGCGATAAAGCCCGGTCTCGTGTGTCCATCGGGTAAACGTTGCTGGTTCCCGTCCGTCGTAAACTCGGTTTAAGTGGAGCCGCCACGAGGAAGCCAAGCTTGCAGCGTCCCGACAACCAAGGCGTGCGAGGCCGAATCGCGAGAGCAAATTATCGCGAGCGTCTTATTCCTGTTAAGAATTATTCCATTTTCTTCCCTCACCTTCTTTCTTTCATCGGACACAGGGAGATGGATCGTAATGAGCGCGGATTGTCAATAATTCGGAGGACTCGAATTTCTACGAAATTAGAAAACAAATTTTTGGGCAATCAAACACCGGGAATATAACTTGAGAGTGAAGCGAAGCGAATGTCACCGGGATTTCGTGATTTTATTTGTGCTCGTTTGCGCGCCGTATTTTTTTCTCTTTGATTATTTCTATAGATGTCCTCGCGGCTAATAAATCTTGCTGTTATTGACGATGCAAATGGCAGTCTTGCCGTCGTTGACGACGATTCAATGTTCAGCCTTCACAATTATACGAATGAACGTTGATTTACAATACCGCGGACAGAATAAGATAATGAATAACAGGAAAGAGAGCGTGTGATATTTTTCCCCACCGGTTTCACGTGTCGGTCGAACGAACCGCTAAATCATTCTTTATATGGTCCTGCTGAACTACGGTTATAGTAAATGCGCGAGTGGCCGGGGGGGGGGGGGGGGCACGAAATCTCGCAGTGCATTACGCGGTATAGCGAATATACGGGAAATTTCAGCGATTTCGTTCGCGCGGACGTTAATCCGAGTAGACGTGAATCGGCGGAACTTAAGCGTGGCGCGTAGAGGTGTTTCGAAAGATATGAAATTCTCATATGCATTAATCGGCTGAATCGTCCGGTTGAGCGTGGCGCCTTATTACTATAATTTTATTTCTCTTGAAACAGCAAATCGCAAAGGATTCATCAAGAAGCGTATCATTAAGAAGAAGAACAATGGAAGAAATATTGCAGCCGAGAAGTTTTAGTTAATAAAATTATATTTTTTCAACGGAATCGGATTTCTCGACTTTTTCTTGTGGTCACGAGAGCGGTTTTGAGAGCGCGAAAAGATCCATGAGCACTTCTCCTCATCCGCTTTACGCCGGTGCCTATGCACACCCTGCCGCATATCGACTTGTGCTTCCCCCTCGTGTCGAGTGGCTGTACCTCTCTGCTGCAGCGGCTACGTGGAGCGACTGTGCTCGTCGGAACCTTTTCGTCGGTCGTTACGTTTGTTTCCGACAACGTAATAATTTGCCAATGAAATGCATGTCTTTCGAGATGACTCTGTGATATTAGTTCATTACGTCGCGTTCAAATCATTCCTGTCTCGAAAATCAAAGCAAGGTGAAAGGAAAACAATTCAACAGAATTTTCTGCGCACAATCATAGAATATTTTTGACGTTTATCCAATATTTTTTAGATTTTTACCGTATTACGTGGGAACGCGAGAGCTGTCTTGAAAAATATTATTACGTGTTAATCACCGCGTATAAATTCGCAAATATTAATGCGACTTTTGGATAAATGTTTTCATCTAATTTCGAGAGTTTCCTTTCGCGCAGAAATCTTCGGGAAAAACAAAGCCGATACGCAATATGGCAAAATGTGCCGACTATTTTACGCGCAAAAACTGCGAGCGAGAAACAGCATTGCGGTTTTGATTCTGTTGCTTTTCGCGATTTTTTCGCCTATCCGTTAAGCTACGAGAGAGAGAGAGAGAGAGAGGGGGGGGGAGAAAGAGATGTGGATAACGAATGGTTCAGTCAAGATGAATCATATTTTTCACATTTATGCGTTTCACTCTGCCTTTCTCTCTTCCCATGATAATTTTTTTTCTTTTTCTTTGGCCTGCGAAATTCAACTTTATCACTTGGCTAAATTCTATCTCTTTTTTATTTACGCCGCAACTAGTCTTATGATGTTGAAATAGACAAGAACTCACCAATTAGAATCAGTTTTATAGTTTAGAACTAAAGCTATTCGCATTATATTCCATGACTCGCAAGTAGAACAACGGTGTCGCGCGCATAGATATCGCAGATTTCTCCTTCTATCCGCATTCAAACCGCATGATGACATTGGCAATCCAACTTGTACATTACGGAACTGATAATGTATAATCGTACGGTGTATGGGAGTTTTGAAATCGCTACTGAAGACGTAATAGCGATTTGAAATTAATGAAAAATCTTCAATCGCGCTTACAAGTGAAAAGCATAATTTACCGTCCCGACACTTCGGGCAATCGTAAAGTTTCACGAGGCAATGTCGCGTAAATCACTTTATCTAGATTTAAGAAAAATGAACTCAGTCTCTATAATATGAATAATTTAGAGGAAAGCAACGACGGTAAAGTTCATGATACTTGAGTGAGAGAGCTCGATATTGGAAGTCCGGGGACCTCGAAGATAAAGATTACGCGATAATGCACAGCGTAAAGCCGACGTACGTCGTTATCGCGTATCGAGATCACAGGATTAATCCTTTAAGTCACTGCGGCGGGTTTCGCATTATCCGGAAAGCGTATCCATATCGCGCTAGGAAGCGTAACGACAAAATATCAGCCATTCGCCAGAAATTCGCTCGGTGCTCGCGTTTTACGAGTAAGGGCGTGCATAGGGTTGCCAACAACGACGCATTTCCGTCGACATGTGTCGTTTCTCTCCGACGTCGAGGATTTCCCTATAGGATAACGACCGGGCGATATGTGGGAACGACGTTGTTTTCAATCCGCTCGTTGGCCGTCAGGAGCTATCAGGATGATTCCTTCGTCGTTGGCTAAATCGCTTCTGGCACGAGTGTCGGGCGTAGAGAAAGAGAGAGAGAGAGAGAGAGAGAGAGAGAGAGAGAGAGAGAGAGAGAGAGAGAGAGAGAGGGAGGATAGTAATTTTCTCCATGAGAACATGCACTCTATCCCAGCGTCCTTACGAGGACACGCCGTGTGTCCTGATTATCGCCGTCGCGCCTCGTTGGGATAAAGTGAGCGGCATCGCAAACAGCGGCGGAAGAAAGCCGCAGGACACCGCTCGCATTTTCGCCCATAGGCGACCCCCATAACCGTGTCAGCCCAATAACTGTCAACCGCAGTCGCACTTATAAACTCCCGGATCCGGGATTCTGCCGCCGAACGGGAGCTGCGGGATTAATTCCCAGCTCATACCCGCGACCCGGCCGCGCGCTACTTCGTCGTAACTCTCTTTAATCCCGAGAATAGAATCCGCGCGCCGAGAAGACATACGCGACAGTTCCGCGGTCGCGTTTCTTCCCCGCGTTCCTGGCCGGAGAACAGCGGAGGAGGAAGACACCCGCCGGCTCGATGATCGAGCGCGTTCTGTCGCGTGCGACGACGTCGATTAGCTCCAGGCTAGGTCGCCGCGATTGGGCTCGCTTTCGCGAGAATCCGTGGGAACGAGCTCGAAATTCTATTACCGGAGCAATGTTCTTCGTTGTTCGGAGTTGTTATATTTCACGGGTTTATATTTCAATGCGTTTTTGCACAAAGTTCGCGATTGATGGGGAAATCGGTGAGCGAAATTTAATCCGCGATGACATTTTACAGATTTGAAATGCGTCGCCGATTTTACAGATGTTTTACACGAAAATGCGAGGCATTATGACACTCGGCGGGTTGTGAAATGTACTAACAGTACTCGTGATACAGCGTGCGAATTTCCACCATGCGGTCGCGACCATTTTTTCCTCTCTTCTTATTTCTTTGTTTATCCGGTGGATCCCGCGGCTTTCTCCGCTTCCCTCTTTTCCTTCTCGATGTCTGGCGCGATATTGGATCCGGATGTAGAGCTATCGTATTACGTTTACCGCGAAAAAATGCCAACCTCGCGAACTCGATCAACCGCGGTGTAGCGCGTCGCGCGATATGTCACGAGAGTTCGCAGGAGCGAAAATAGAAATGGATTTCCGCCGTCAAAGAGAAAAAAAGAAAAATCGTCACTTGTCGCCATCGTTATTTAAATTTGTCAAATCATATTATTCATTCTTCGAGAATTTCGAATGTCATTTCGAAATCTGTAACGAGAATTCGAACTTGTTCGATTTTTTGATCGATGGTAGCAGGTATTTTAACACGTAGTTTCCCGAGGGAGGTCTATGAAAAAATTGTTATTTCATCCTACACATTTATAACATTTTCTTTCATCTTGGTAACGTAATTTTCTCTTGTTCCGCGTGTTTCGCCAGAAGGCCGGCGAAATAGAAATTTTCGTCGCCGAGATGCAAGCAAGAAAATAACAAGGACTTGGTCTCTTGGATTCGATCGAAGACGTAACGTCCGTGGAGATTTTCGCGGATTCTGAGTGAGCGTAGTGTATGATACTAGCGCCGGGAAAACCGTGTCGAGGCGAAAAATTCTTTATCGTCGGGATGCACATTTGAGAAAATAACAAGGACTCGCGATTTGACTCGATCGAAGGTGTAACGCGCGTAGCAATTTTTGCGGTCTCGCCGAACGTCGACGAAACTATTCGTGGCCGAATTAGTTTCGCGGAGGATAAAGGGAATTGCGACACTGATCGTCGGAAAGAGCGTAACGCGTGTGCGAGTTTCGCAGATATTCTTTTCACGAAACGACCGAATTTCATGATTCGCAGGAAGAATCATCGATATACGAGGCGATTGCACTTTGCGTCGCACGAGACAAATGTAACACCCGTGCACACGAAATTCTGCTCAATTTCGGAAACGCTACGCCGAATTCGCCGACGAGAAAAATCCCTTGTCGTCGGGATGCACTCAGGAAAATAACAAGAAGTCGCGATTGGAGTCGGGTCGAGGGTAGAACACGCGCGGGAAAAGCGGGGCGTTCGATGAAGTCGACGAGAAAAATTTCTATTGCCGGAATGCACTCGTGGAATTAACGTGGGAAGGGGCGCAATCGGACTTGGTCGTCGTAGACGACGAGCGTGCATGATGTAACGCAGTTCGCAAAAATGACGAGGAGGATTTCCCGACGAGTCGTAACGTCCTGGCGAGCGAGTTCGCGACGATACGACGAAAATTCCGTGACTGCATTGGATTTTCCGGCGAGGTGTGGCGAGACGAGACGAGCGTTTCTGAATTCCACTCGAGCGTCAAGATTTTCCGGTGCGACAAGGTGCTCTCTTCCGAACTCGAGTCGATGAAAAGTACGAGAACACGACCGCGGATGTCGCGACTGCGATGCGTTAAAATCTCGGTTCGCCGATATTCCTGGCAGCTCGAGCGACGGTAAAATTTTATCGCCTGCGTCGGCTTTTCTCTTCGGGAAATATGCTTTCTCACGGTGCACGCGCTCCAAAGATCGACGGAATCACTCGCGATTCTTATCGAGTTTGCCGCGTTAAACGGGCCAGGAACGAGCGAGCGGGCGCGCGCGCGCACGAGAGAGAGAGAGAGAGAGAGAGAGAGAGAGAGAGTCGTTTCCCTATATTATCGTCTCTTATCCTTGTAAGCATTCATCTTAATTATACACTATTAAGCGCAACGCTCGTTTTAAACGAATCGTTATAAATTCCCCTCGACGCTGCACTCGCGATGCACCAAATACTCTCACGCGGAGACGGTCGAATTGATATCCGTGCAATCACTTTTCCGCCACTCGTGAGAAAACGGGAGCCTCATTGTAATCCATAGTCACTATTTTTCATATTATCTTCTCTCTTGTTGGACATTTTCGATTAAATAAGCTGCTAGTTTCGTTTAAATAATTTCGACGAGATAATTCTGTCGATACGACACGTGTCGTACTGAAGCTGCGTCTCTCAGATCCTAACGATGCGAGCTCGCTCGAAAGCGACTATTAAGACTATCCAAAAGGGATAGCTCATTATTCTCCGTGAACTAGAAGGATCTCCGCGCGAGATATCTCAAATCCGCGATCGATAGCGCGATAATCCATGCGGAGCGCGGGTCACTCGTCCGCGCGCGAGGAGAGGTCGCTCGCGATGGAAATCGCCGTTCGTCGAGATGCTTTTAGGAGCGGATTCGAGGTAATCCTCTTTGCACCGGGCTGCGCGAAAAAGGAAGGCAGCGACGATGAGGGCGACGGGGGAGGTGGAGATTCGCTCCGAAAAAGCGGGCACGCTCTTTCCGCCTCGAAACTCGCCACGTGACACGCGTGGAATTCGCAGTCGCGAAAGGATGCTTTTAATTCCTTTTTTTCCCGCTTTTCCCTCTTTCGCAAAAACGCTTTTTTTTTCCCCCAGAAACACGCGTTCTCGGTGAGAATCCGTTTCGGATATCTGTTACGAGGATATTGGCGTTCGTTTCCGGACACCTTTTCACCGCGAAAATGGCACAGTTTCAAAAGTTCCAATTTATATTTTATTTAAATGGATTCGCGCAGGCACGCTCTCTTTCTCTCTTTTCCGCTCGCGCCTTCAATGCTAACCGTATTGTGCACCTAACACACCGTCTCATTCTCATTACGTTGAACTACGACAGTTTAAAAGCTTTCCGTTACGCATGCCATTACAAATGGAAATTCGTGTCTTCTCGACACGGTTGGGCATATAATTATCCCCGCTTTTATTTTTCGCGCAATAATCGTCGCGCCATCCCGCAATTTGACGCAGTCACTTGCACCGCGCACGGTCTCGTTCCATTTTCGCACTTTCTAATTTCGCAGATCACATCGTCGTTTAAATTTTCCGCGACTCTCATTTCCCGTCACACACTTTTGCAATTTATCGACACAGGGAAGAGGGGGGAGGGGGAGGGTGCGAGTTAAACGCTGTTAAACTCTGATTCGTTCCATTTTCGGAACGGGGTATATAACCGGTAGAATCATCTCCCTTGCGCTGTTAGAATTGCGCAAGAATTGTGCAAGAAACGACGACGACGTGATAAACGCGCGCTCGCTTACCTTACAGATCCGACTGCGACTGCGGCGACGACGTCGATTCGCTACGAGCGCATTTCCACCGCGGGCGATTTTCCGCGCGACACTTTCCCTCACGACCGGCGTGACGGAGCCTGCGACCCTTCCGTCTTCGCTACCAACTCGCAAACAATTGCCTGCTTTTTTCCGCGTGCGCGCACGTCGCGTACACACGGGCGATTCGCGCGGCACGATTTTTTTCGCCCCACGATCCACCCCACGCACTCGCGATCACGTCGCTGCCGCGACGGTCTTCGGCCACGGAAGCGGCGGCGTGAAGCGACGGGCGCGCTCTAAAGCTGATGATTTAGCACTGATCCCCGCGGACGATAGAGCACGAGTCGTGGAAAGTACCGGCAGCCATACGCAGCCCCGAGGAAAGTAATCTCACCCTGTTTGCGTCACCGTGTCGCGAGACGCTCTTCAAGCCGGCACAAAAGGCCGTCTGGCCGTCTCTCCCTTCGTCTCGCGAGTGTGGCAGTCGCCAACCCCGCCAAGGGGGTCAGTAAACTTGGCTGGCAGACACGGATTCGCGGCTAGCGAAGCGCCGGCACTTTTGCATCTCTTTCGAAAAGATGTATGAGGAGAAAAGTGCTCGAGCGAGAGAGAGCGAGAGAGAGAGAGAGAGAGAGAGGGAGGTTTGCGGCTCGGACCAACGACTGCACTCGCGATGGTATTTCTCGACTGCACATCGGTCGCACATACACTCGGGTTACACACCTCGGGAGAGTCACGGAGAAACACAAAAGATGCGACAGGGACAACCAGCGTCGTGCTGCGCGCACTACCGGTGTTTTTTTTTTTTTTTCTTTATCGTGAAGAAAGCTACGGTGTTGCGTGACAAAGACGCCTGCGACACGGGGTCACTCGGGAGTCGGGCGAATTTTCTAATGCACTTTCTCGTGCCGCTCACCGGCGCGTCATCCTTCCTTCCTTTCTTCTTTCCTCCGTGGAAAATGCAACGATCCGCCTGGAGACGCCGTCCGGATGAATCTTCACGTCCGCGTGTCGAGATCGACGAAATTCGCCGGTCCGCGCGCGTCTCTTCTTCAGCCAGCCGCTGCACCGCGGAAAATCCACACCTTCACCGCCGGCGCGCGTTCAATTCGAGCGAGTTTCGTCGCGCCGCTCGCGCGCTCCCATTCGCGGACACGGGAAAAAATCCCTCGCGATCATTCACTAGCGGAATTTCCAACACTCACAGCACGAACATCGACAGCGGCCTGAGACTCTTTTTCGGCCCGTTATTTTTCCGCGACGCTATTTTTCACGTGCACCACCGTACCATTTTCCCACTCTCTCTCTCTCTCTCTCTCTCTCTCTCTCTCTCCCTCTCCCTCTCCCTCTCCCTCTCTCTCTTCCACTCGTAGCGCGAAAAATTCAACCGGTAGTACGCTCCGATGTTCACTCACTGCTGGATTCAATTTTCACGTTCGCTCCGGCACCGGCGGCGCGTTAAATTTCACCATCTTTCCATTCACGTGCTGCCGCGGCGCGGGGGGTAACCACCCCCTTTCGGATTCGGCGAGTGCTCGCTCGAGGAGCAAGTTCGCCGCCGACCGACGAGGTTTGCCGGACGTTTGTTTATGTCTCACCGTCGTCCCACTGTCACTGTCACACGGAGAGTGCGAGCGCGAGGAGCAGGTACCGTCGAAGAGGAGGGCCCTCGAAACTTCAGCCGCGGGTCAAGCCGGACGGACTTTGCGACTCGCCGTGGTAGCGCGTTCAGGATTAACATCACACTGTGCGAGCTCACGCGCGCGCGCGCGCTCTCTCTCTCTCTCTCTCTCTCTCTCCTCTAAGTCCCCCTAAGCTTCAGGGCTCAACGCGGCCTCCTCTAGCGCGACTCACTTTTCGTCTACCTGCCTCTCTCGTTGCCAGAACAACCTTCGCTTCATGGCCGCGCGCGGCACACTGTTGCTCTGTACGTTCCTCCGCAGCTTCGAGCTCGGTCGTTCGCCCTCCACTGCTTCGTCGTTCCCCACTTTGAAGCTTCCCCTACCCTAGCTAGCCCCGATGCGTTGGCGATCCCCCCTCTCTCTCTCTCCCCCTCTACGTCCCCCCTCTCTCCCTCTCTCTCTCTCTCTCTCTCTCTCTCTCTCTCTCTCTCTCTCTCTCTCTCCGTGCGTGCGTGTGTGTGTGTGTATGTGTGTGCTGTCGGAGTCGACCGGCTCCTCTTCTTTCTTCGGGTGCGTGTGGCGAACTCCTTTCACGAGGGTGACCCGCCGCACGCGGAATCGGGGGTGAAAAGAGTGCAGGGGATGGGGAGCGAGCGGTGTTTTTTTCGTTCATTCGATGCGCGCACGGTGAGAGCACGGTGTAGGAATGGGGAGGCTCGAATTCACCGCTACGATTTGTTCTCGGATTTCGATCCTCACGTAGATCCGTCGTTATATCCTGACGATGACTCCTCGAGAGTGTCGGCTCGCTCTGCTCCGCTCTGCGAGGGTCACCTGTTTGTTTTCACCGAGCCGGCCGATAAAATTTTCCCTCGCGACTTCTGCTCGAATATCTTGCTACTTTTCATGCTGCGTAGCGCGAGCGATAGCGGACTTCCGAGTTGCGCCTTCCAATTATCTCGAGCACGACCGAATCGATCGGATTTCGACGGATCGATCAAGTTTCAAATACTCGGCAAACCGATCCCCTCCGACATTTGCATTCGTCTTCCGTCGTCATCGATCAGCGCTGAAACGGCTATTCGCAGCGATTCGGTGTCGAAGCATCATGCGCGAGAGATTCATCGTTTCGTTACAGCGACCATAAAGCGATGATCCGGTAGAACTTGGATCAACTTTCCGCCGGTGTCGCTCTCTCTCCGAGGGCGATCCAGTTTCGAGGTCCTTCAAGCCTGACGTATTATTCGAAGGACCGGAGCGTACCTGTCTGCTTGTACAGTGGTGCCCTCTCGACTGTAACAGGACTTTCCATTGTACACAGAAGGATGTTTCGTGTAGACACATGAATAATATCGTCTTAAAGTTCATTTCCTATGCGCATGCATTTGTCGGAAGCCGTATGTTACCGTGCCGTTTATGTTGGCTATCAAAGCCCGCATTAGCGAGGCATTTGTAATTCTCATAATATGTCGCCGCGAATAAACAGAATACGATTGAACGCGACGTCATCTATCCGTCGCGACGCGACGCGATTGTTTTCCGCGACGAGCCGCGACAACGGTCAAAGGTAATTGAACGAAAGGCATTCGGTGTTGTATTGTAATCTTTCTGTGCCGCGGGAGCGGGAGCATCCGCTAGGGTACCGTGTTTTCAGCGTTTGCGTTTATTGGCAAGAGCTCAGAGTGGTGCCATGTCGTCAGCGACAAGGCGAGCGGTAAATCGAGACTGCCGCGGAAGCGATCGAATAATTGTCACGGCCATTACGACTACGCTCTTGGCGAGATCAGTCCGCGCGCCGTCAGGAACGACGCGCAAAAGTCTGTCAAAGTCTGTCAATTTTGCATCTTCGCTTCGACTCGCGTCGCGCGCGCGCGCGACCGTTCCGCGCGGATACGTCTCCCTTCGTCGCCCTACCGTCTTCCCTTCGTCGTGCTCTCTTAGAGAGCAACGGGAATGCGAGTTTACATCTCGCCGGCGGTAGTTTCGCGTCGACGAGCTCGCACAATGAAGCGGAGCCGCTGGTAAGAACGACAGAACGTTTCGTCGCGGGATTCTGTAAATAAGACACGGCGAGCGGGGGAGGAACTGCGACGGCGAACTTCACGTCGTCGTCGTGGCAGTCGACGTCGACGACGACGTCGGAACGACGACGTCTTGCGTTAGAGGCGAGTATCAGGCGAATGCAGTTCAAACAAGGAAACTCGCGTCGTCGCGCGGAAAACGCACTAATCCCGCGACAGAGCGAGCTGTCGTGTTCTTCCGTGCGCTCGCTCCCGTTGGAATTTCTTTGCGGTCGGCGAATCCGGGTGCGATCGAACTTGAAAGACGACGACGAGGGCGACGAGTCCCGCGGGAAGCCTAATCGACTGGCGTTTAACGCCGCGCCTCGCCTAATCTCCGTCGCAGGAAAGTTTTTCCGTGTTACTCGTACTGATTCCTCGCGCCCGTAAAAGACCCACCTAAGCTAAGTGATATCGATTGCGCCGCGCTGCACTTTCGAGTCTGCGGTGCATGACGGATCGAGTAACCGATAATGATCGCCTTCGCGTCCGCTCACGTCGTAATTACCTCCCGTGGAATGTGGGCGAATTAAAGGAAAAAAGAGGAAATGTTAGCGAGAGCCATTCGGTGGAAATCGAATTTGTACTTACGAAGATCACAGGTTGTTCTTCTAATTACTCAACGCTCTTTCTCTCTCTCTCTCTCTCTCTCTCTCTCTGTCTCGCTCTTTCCCCATCCGTGCGTTTCAATGAGGAAACCAGTTTATCCAGCGCTGTGCTAAATTCCTTTTCACATTTATATACCAAATGGCGAAGATGAAAATATAAACCCGGTTAATTTACGGTTAAATGCTTCCGCTCGAGACAAGTAGTCTGTTCTTTTTAACTGCACTGCGGAACTAGTGCAATAAGTTAGAATGAGAAAACTATATTTTTTCTCACTTTAACTTGTTGCACCATTTCAGCAGTGCAGCTAAAAAGAACAGACCAAAAATTTACTGTCCCATTCTTTCGTCAGTTCCTTCACAGACCGAGTCACCGAGTGCAAACGGTAATGCTTACGGTAATCCGCTCGATTCGCTGTAATCGTCAATCCGTCGGGAGATTTACGTCTCCCGATTTTCGCGCGCTTGCGCGCGCCTGCGACTTGCTGCAAAGTTTCGTACTTCTTATCTGACCTGCTTATCAGGCCTGCTCCTCGCGCAGGAAGTCGAATTAGACGGACGGTGCGGTAACGGAACGTCCGTCTTGTTATCGATTGTGGGCGGAAGTCCGCGATCCCGGGGCTGAAACTCGCGCGGGACCGTAATTCGACGTATGTGGGTCATTTGGCTCTCGCGAGACAGGACGGAGAACGACGGGGGCGGGACGAAAGGGATATCCTTGGACGAAGGATATGCAGCGTGTGGAAGGATATCCCAGCGCGCACAGGAAACCGGGAACGTGCCCGTGCCTTCGACGCGGCCCGTAATATTACAGGATCCCCCGCCGGCAGGACGTGTCAGAGTGAACGTGTCAGAATGACCATTACTCTTGAGAAGAATAAAGAATTGCGGAGGAGGGAGTTTTATACCCGCGCCACGATACGATTTTTCACGGTTTTCTTTTTTTCGATTCCGCGCCCGCGATCGTTTTCTCGTACACGCGCGCGAGAGAAGCAATTCCCGCTTCAAAGTTGTTGGACGCGACGCCTGGCGCGAGTCGAAAATAAACACTCGAAGGGAATTTATTTTACGATGTAGCTTGCGGATAGAGAGAGAGAGAGAGAGAGAGAGAGAGAGAGAGAGAGAGTGTGAGTGAGTGAGTGAGGAGGAAGGAAAAGTTATACGATTTGAGAATAATATACCAGATTCGCGAGAGTGAATGTGCAAGAAACGTGAGCCGGCGCCGAGGCCGCGCGCGCGTTCATGGATCTGTCATTATAACGCCGGATATGCCGGGGACGCTCTATGTGTATCGGCGGAATATACACCGCGAATAGTTTACAACCCCGATAATGCACGGTCCAAATGTGATATTCATTTAATTTCCGCGAAGCCCTTACGAAGTGCAATTCGAGCTAAATGCGACAACGGTATAATTTATTGACAACAAACCGTGCAGCGGGCTATAATATTATAAACATAGACGTCGCTTGTGTGTGCAACAGAATTCATTGTTATGAGCATTTTTAATCGGAGCACAAAGGACTGCGCGAAACAAAGTTCTGCGCGCGATAACGGGACACGCGATACTCTTTGACAACGATCCTGCCCCTCTCCCGTTTCTCCCCTCCTGTTTCTCCGCCTCCTCCTCCTCTTCCTCAGTCGGAGCGTAATCCCACCTCTGCAACGCGTTTAACATACAAAAATAAATATATCCACATGTACGAGGATTCCTAGGACGCTGCGCTCTGCGCGGCAATGAATATCTCGCATGTGCCATTTCCATAATCATTAGCCCTCTACGTGTAACCTACTTTCCCCGCATAATTTCGCGATCTCGTACAGCCGCATTTTTTCTTTTCCGAGTATCTTTCCGAAACTGTCATCAATATTGTGCCGATTGTCTTCAAGGAAAAACGCTTACACACGGATTATAAACACACGGTATAAATTAATTAATAATATATATATTAATTAATATTAATAAAAGTGAACAAAAGTACACATAATGTGTGCACATGTGCGTATAAGAAAATATACGCACCGCTTCGTCACGAGTTGCTATTATCTCGAATCCAATCGATCGTTAATCTGCGCGGGTGAGAGCGGAGAAGGGTTAATACGGTCGAGGATGTCTCATAGGCTTCTCGAAGCTCGCACCTTCGCGTTATTCCAGAGACCATCGTGCACGTTTCCACCCTCGGTAACCGAACGAATGGCCGTGCCGCGACGAGGAGCAGCGCGCGTTCGAGGGACGGCAAAAACGAACGACGAGCGGGGGTTGCCGGCTGTGTTATACAATCGTAGCGACGCGGTGGATGGAATTAATTAAACGCTACCGCTCCTCATCCTCTTCCTCTCACCCCTGCCATTTCCCACCGCTGCCACTGCCGCCACCACTACCACCGCCGCCGTCGCCGCCGCCGCCGCCGCCGCCGCCGCCGCCGCCGCCGCCGCCGCCGCCGCCTCCGCCGCCGCCGCCGCCGCCGCCGCCGCCGTCGTCGTTGCTGTATTTACTCGGTGGGCTTTGAGGATCGAATTGCAGGCGCCCCGTGAGAGAGGGTCTCGTTGTTTGCTCCTCTCCTCCTCACGCCGTCCCCTACGACCGACCATACCCCATCTTCCACCCCTTTTCGTCCCCCTGTTCGCCTCATGCCGCCCCCGGCGCAACCCCTTCCCATTTCGCGGCTGGTATTGCGAAACTACCGGTGGATATCCGCAAATACCGCGAACGAGTATTTGGAGGACCTCGCGTTTTGCGGCAAAAGGGTGGGAAGAGGAGAGAGTGAGAGAGTGAGAGAGGGAGGGAAGGGGATAGGACGAGGCCGGTCGGACCACTCGTCCTGTTGGCCGGCGGCATTGAAAACTTCGTCAAACGAGGCCGAAGACTGGTTTCAGGACGAGAGGTTCTTGGAAAAAGGGGGGAAGGGAAACGAGGAGGGAGAGACGTATTTGCCGAGTAGTTTGGGACTAAATCTCCCCTTCAGAGTAGTAAGTTATACGTACAAAAGAGTGGACAATGGTACACAATGCCAAACGAACCCGACAGAATGAAGGTAAAGTATACGTAGGCGAAGTTGACAAGCCACGAAACGGTTACGTTACATACGTGACACGTTAAAGGATTATTTGCGCCTAGGTAAATGTAGGAGTAAGAGAGAGAAAAATAGAAATTATATAGACAAAAGGATGTTGGATATCAAGTAGCTCCAAATCGTCCGCCCGCATCGAATCTTTCTTGATGCTTGATCTCAGTAAGCAGCGTATTAATTGTACAACCTAATTGCAGATAGAATATCGCGGTAAGCAGATATGAAGCAATCTGTCGAAAGTTGATCGGATATTTTCTGCTGGCGTGATTACAAATTTTACGGGATAGAGTTTCGGGATTCGAGGAACGCAAGAGAGAAAGAATCGTAAGCGATTGCCACGACATCCGGCGTTTTGTAAATCGATCCAGAAGTCCTCTTGGTCGTCATTGTGACAGGCACTCAATGGTGTCGCGTGAACAAACGAACGAATCGATTGCGGCGACATGGCGTTAACTAATGATCACATATTACCGATGGCGAGATCGTCATATCATGTCAATCAAACACCATATCAAAATATTATATATGATATAATATCGCTAGCTATTCGGTAATATTTGTCTACCTCGCGCAAATCCGGAATGTTTTGAAAGCGTTGATTGTTGTGATTTCTCGGTCACCGAATGTCCTCGTCATTGATCAGCGGACGACGACTGTTTGCGATTGAGCAGGGCGGTGACATAGCTCTTTTCTCCGTTGTTTTGATAGTCTCGTACGTTGCGCGGTCGAATCATTGTATCCGGAGTCATCGCGAGGTACGCACCTACCGTGACACGGAGCGAGCATACCGGTAAGTTGTTTACGATTTCCGCCGTGCGACTGAAATATTTCGCTGGTTATTAAATTCGCGTTTGTTGTAAATGTGCAGATTCTATAAAAATTTCCAACGTTAATTAAAACGAAATAATGAGATTATGATGAGATATTTTATTGTAATATTAATCCATATCAACGATTTCATATTTACTTATCGCACATATTCTATCTGCAATTAAGCAAGTTATACGAGTGATACGTTGTGTGTGCTTATTGAAATTAATATCAAAGATCAAAAGGCAGAGAGAGAGAGAGAGAGAGAGAGAGAGACAGAGAGAGAGGGAGGGAGGAAGGGAGGGGGAATATTGAGATAATTTTTGAACAGCATTAAATAGTTGGAAACGCAGCAATAAGTAGCTATTTGTAGCATCGCAGGTAAAACTGTATAGCGTTACATCTCGAGAGATTTCCCATTGATTCTCCAAGCCTGATCGTATTTGCAAGTTTAATACAGAACCAAAAGTTCTACTCGGTCTATACAGACCGATAGATATGTTAAAGATTAAATATTAAGCGGTTATACCAGACGGATACTGGCTTGTTAAATATTAAATGGATCCCGTCGAATCGAGAACGGGATAGGTACGTAATAGATAGACGGACAAGGAAGAGAGAGAGAGAGAGAGAGAGAGAGAGAGAGAGAGGAGGAGGAAGCGAGAGAGCAGTCGACTGCAAATATCGGCGTGTCGGCGCGTCAGGTCGATACTCTCGACCCGTTGTTCTCGAAGACGCGGTCGGCTACGTGTGGGTAACTTAGGAGCTTTGTTGGCACACGTGAAGTATCCTGTGAGCGTGCTAAGAATGCTACTGGCCGGAAGTTATGCCTCGGTTTAATGGATCTGTTCTAGCAACGCGAGTAGCCTCGATGAGAATTTTTTTTCAGCTCACAAGAATCCTCGGACGTTCCAACTTTTAGCTAAATTTTACGAGGGCTCGTTCCCCCGACGCTTGAAACACACAAAAAATCAATATCGTTATATATCTCTGGGGTGAAACTTCTCTTCCGTCGCCGTCGCTTGCAGTTGCGGTTATACATCGTTCGAATAATGCCGAATGAAATTAGCATATTATTATTAAAATATATATTATTAAAATATAAAATATTAAAATAATATCGCGACGATATTTTGTTCATCGATAGGAGCACGATAATATGTCTCTTGGCTAAGACCGGCAACGATTATCTTGACAAGGAAAATTGCAGATCGAACGAACATTATTCTCTGATTTTGCAATCCTTTGACTTCCTTCCCACGACTTACCAATACACGTATGTTTTTCCGACATCGTTCAGCATCTTGGAAGTTACGATCCTACCGAAGTATCCAATCTCGCAACGGAATGTTTCCCGTCGATAGAGGCGCGTTCGTGTTGTTATGTTTTGTTCGCCGGGCGACAGGGTTTTCCTCGCTAACGAGGAAATGTCGATGGCGATAAAAATTCCGTCATGGATACGCGACCACAAGTGCGGCTGATGAAACGATGAGAACCCGGGCGTCGCGCCGGTGTCAACGGCGGCCGGGCCAGTCGACTGCAAATATTACCGCGTCGCGTCAGGTCGCCATTCCCGTCTGTCGGCGTTTCCCGAGGGATATCCCGGACATGTACGCCCGAAAAAGCTCCCACGATGTACATGAAACTGCGGCCATCGCGCCGCGGGCGCGGATCGACGGTTTCGACGCCGACAATTCGTTCTCTCCCACGCGAGAACGCCGCGGAAACACGTCGGGATTAGAGTTCGCGAGACGCCTTGTCGAGAAATAGGAGCTTGTTGTTGTGCCCACGAACTCTCCTGTTAGTGATCGAATTCCGATTCCGAAGTCATGGCCGCTTTATCGATGTCCATTGAAAGAGGTGACCGCGTTTGAGCAGTCGGTTACATACACTTTGAGTCGCAGATCTGTCATATCGACATATCGTGACATTTTCAGAGAATGCATTTCTGCGAAAGAAGGCAGAAGAGTCTAAAAAATTATGGGGACAGTCTAGAGGGGAAAAAAAATCTCGGGAGAGATCTTTTCACAGGTTAATCGGAAAATTTGCTTTTTGTTTCAGATTTCGCGGGGTTGTGGCTGTAGGAGGTGTGGTTGCTGTACCGGAGGATCCGGTTCGGGCCGAGCAGGGTCGGCTCGAAGGTACGTTCAAAAATTTCTTTAAAAACTTCTCTTGCGCTAAACCCGCTTCGCTCGAACGTAGCTGCGAAAAAATCGCACTCGCGTGTATCTTTTCCGTTGAGCCGTCAAGTTCTAATCAACGAAGTATCTAATCAACGATATTATTATTTTCGTTACAGATTTGCAGCGCAGCACACGTGGCCGATCCTGAGCTCCTGGTTCATCGGTGAGTCAGAGTTCGATAATCACGAAAAGTGACTTAAAATTGTAAGGTGGTGGGTTGATGGCGCACTTTCGCAGTGTCTACTTATTGTCTCAAAATTGGCGTATCTTGACTTGTGCTAATGGCCTCTTTGATGAGAGAACGCTAAAGTCAAGTATTTTATCGACGCGATAGAAAAGCGATAGAGCGGGCATGGCAAATAGGTGCGATAATTCGAAGGATCGTAAACGCGCGCCGGGCGGAAGAGGGATAATGGTCTCGGGCTGTTTAAAAACAAGATAATCCCTCCTTTTCCCGAATAGTGCATCGCCGGCGCCTAACGTGGCGCCGAGGGCTTTTTTGGGAGGCACTCGAGGCGTGCCTTGTTTGCCAACGACCGCCCCGTAAGATGATGCAGCGAATTTCCCGAGTGTTTGTTAAACATCCTCGTCGTCTGTGTACTATCCCGGAGCGAGTATACTTTCGTAGCCTTTTGCGAGTTGCCGAGACTATGTCGTTAATGTATTCTCGATATGGTCGAACCTTCTCGGGTCGGAAAGAATGCTCCCGTCGAGCTGCATTGTCGATCGAAGATTCTCGACTCGACGCTCCAAGATCCACGGCAAACAAGCTGATATTCTTGAATCCTAGAAGCTGCGCGTTAAATATTCACGGTAAATAACTATAGCGCCAAGTATTAAGCGATAAATATTGCTGCGAGGAAAGAAACGTTTTCGCGTCTTCAAGTCGAGAGAGCGAGATTATGGGCATAAAGTTCTCCGGGATCGAAACCGGGTTTGATCGAGACCGACATTTCCTTCGAAATACTAATATAATAAAGTATTAATATGACGTTGATCATAAATCTTCTAAAAAAGCGGCGGTATCATGAGCTATGCAAACAATGATATCGTTGCGCAACTTTCTTGCTCGGTTCGTATCTATATCTTGTTTAACTTGGATCGAAAATATCTAAGCGTATCTCTTTCCCGTTGGCTAAACGCACCGAAATATACGATAACCCAAGCAAATATGCGGTATCTCTGCTCTCTGCACGAGTTGTTCGACACTCTCACAAATATCTGTTTCGAAACTAATTAGACAGAAATAAATTATGACATTCGCGTGGAATACGCAATTCACTGACGAAACTCCCAACTATGAACGCGCCGCGACAATTTTAAGCGCAGGCGTGAATCATACACACGGAGGGGGAGAATTTTCGAGTAAAAATTACTTGTAGAATTTGGTAGAGGCGGGGAATATACGTCGACATTCCGTCTGAATTTATTATCCTTTCGTTTCGTATGCGCTATTTATACTTTAGGAAGTGAAATCTACTATCGGAAAATATACCGTGTCTCCCTCAGAGCAAAAGATAAACATCACCGAGTCTATTTTCGCGTGCTACCAGAAAATATGGCAAAATTGAGGAAAAAATTTCTGCGGAAAGAGGAGGAGGAGGAGGAGGAGGAGCTATAACGTTTTCCCCGTACAATAAGCAGACTTGCGTCTTACACGGTACATACACGGCGAAATAACGTAATCGCAATCGAGTTGAAGGTAAACATCGCGGCAATTTCCACGACGACTCGCGTCCCCGTGGAACAGCGTCTGCACTCGAAAACTGGCCGCCGCCGACGGAGGAGGTGTCGACGCGCTTCCCGGCGCGTTTCGACGCGATGTGCCAAACGAACCGCATGTAAATCTCTTTCGATTTATTCGACCGAGAGAGCTCCCTCTCCACTTCGGCGCTCGCTTTTTTCCCTTTCTCCTTTGGTCACGGATTTTTTTCGTTGTCGGCCGCCGTTCGACCTGACTCACTCGACGCCGCTCGATGTTTCGCGCCGATCGGATCCACCCGCCCACGAAGCGAACGGAGTTCGCTATAATGCGGGTTATCGAAGCGTTATCGGTTGACGAACTGCGGGAATAAGAGGGAATAAGTGTTTGTCGCAACACCTGCCGATTTTTCCGTCGCCAGCCGCGCCAAGGAATCTCGCGCTAACGAAGACGGCTCCCGCTCTTGAACGACACGTGATTCGACGACTTCCAAGTGCTCGTGCGTGAGAATGCGTGGTGGTGTCACATGTTTCGCACGGAAAGTGTGTATTTACGTGTTGATGAAAAGTGGCGTTTCTCCGAACGTACTTTGTCAATACTTTACATGACAGACATTTGTTTTGGTTGTGGAAAGTTTTCGAATTTTATACAGTTTTACCCGTTGCGTCTCGAATTTATTTATTTCCCATTCCTCGCGTATCTAAATGTCCACGAAGATGTCCACGCAGATAACCGTACGCTTAGATTAACGCGCGATCATTCGTACAATCGAGAGCCGAGATAAAAGTCCCCTCGGTTACTAAGTTTAAATTTACTCCACTAGCCCGTCTAACTTTAAACTCGTCAGGGTCGGCTCGCTCCGTATCGATTTATTTACGCGTTAAAACGTGATAAAGCCGCCGCGGCGGCGAGTGGGTGCGTCACCACGATTCCTTATCGACGCACTCGGCGATCCCATCGACGACGTCGGACACGAATTAAACGGCACCTTTTGACCCTTTGAACGAGCCTCTCCTCCTCCCCGTCCTCCCTTCTCCCCTACACCGTCGCTGCACCCCGTCGCAGGTGTCTATGTACGGGAGCCTCGGTTCACTGATTTATGGCGCAAAAAGAAATCGCCGCGGCGTAGGTGGACGATGATTTATCATCCGGGAATAAATTGCGGATACCTACGGCTGCCAGAGGTCGTCACTCCGCGAGGACGGCACGACGGGAGACAGAGAGAGAGAGAGAGAGAGAGAGTGAGAGTGAGAGTGAGAGAGAGAGAGAGAGAGAGAGAGAGTGAGAGAGAGAGAGAGAGAGAGAGAGAGAGAGAGAGAGAGAGAGAAGGGGACGCGTGTATGCACGAGGCTGAGAGAGGCGGGAAAGGGCTGGAAAAATCAGGTGGAATTCATAGTTACGATCGCGATGGCGGTGCATACGCGGCGGTTTATAAATTTCTGAGACTCCCGATGAAACAGCGCGGAGCCTTGAAGCACGACGCGCGGCGCGGCGCGGCGCGGCGCGGATTTATCGCCGGATCCGTCGCGCACAGCCGCTTTCGCCGAATCCCCTTTTTTCACTTTCTCTCCTCTCTTTTTTTTCGACACTTGTTCTCTATTCCTTCCCTCCTTTTGTACGCGCCTCTAGCTACGTACCGCGGCGGAAACTTAATAAATCGCGAGCTTTTTGTTACACACCCGCCGTTGTGCCGCCGCCGCCGCCGCCGCCGCCGTGCGCGACGGTTTGGTAGTTTTATTCGCGCCCTTCGGAGGTAAATACTGCCGAGGTTTGTTCTACGTTGCGAGAATCTGCGATTCGACCGAATGTTTGCGCGCGTACCTTCGTTAGGGATTGAAATGCCTGTTCTTGTTTTATGATCAAGGACGGGGTGGAATTGCGTTACCCCGCTTGTTAGGAGAGACGCGTAGTCTAGCGGAGAGTCAGCTCGAATAATCGATATTTTTCGTCGAGGTAACGCAAATGAAAGAGAACGCGCGCTGCGCGGTGTAATATATCAAACGATCGTATAATAGGATTGTTATAAGAAGAAACCCGTCGCGCTGTACACTGTGTTTCGTGATATTATTACGCACGGACCGGGAACTCTCGCGCATCGCATAACTGCGCGTATACGCGATGTCAGACCGAGGAAGAATGCCGCTTTGTTCGAATTGTTCGCTCGGATGCAACGTGTGCCGTTCGTTTCGTCAAACGTCGCGCCGCGCGCGCGCGCCGGGGCCGGAGGGAAGGTAGCCGCTGCGTTGCGTATTTTCCAAAATTTAAAAGCAGCCTCTCCCCGGTTTACCGTTAAATATCACTTAGTGTCACGAGGCGATTCGCGTTATCGCGACGCGAACGCACGGGAGCGAGCGATAACGCTTCCCAGGCGCGTCGGAAACGTTCCGGCTGCGCGCTCTCGGTCGAACGGTTATTTCCAGCCGGATATATTTCGATACCCCCTCGTCTGCGGTCGCGAATTTAAAAGCCGTATTCGCTCGGTCCGGCGCGCGCGCGCGCGCGCCGGACGGGCGAAAAACGGCGGCGGATTCGCCCGCAGAATGCACCGTTCGCGACAGTAACTCATCCCGGCGCGCAATATGAAGTGGCCCTCATGACGAATGTCGGGACGTCGCGCCGGTACGCGAGTGAAGAGGAAAAATGAGGGTGTCTTCCAGCGATTCTCCGCCAGCGGCGCGCGGCCGCGGCGTTTCCGAGAGTCGCGTTTCCGTGAAAAAGATACTCGATGTTTCTTCCGCGCGGTTGACCGGCGGAAGCGTCGGAAACTGTGCGGGCTCGCGTTACGCTTTGATAAACCTCGGCAGACGTAACGGCAAGTGCCGTGACTATTAATTTACGTTAATCGCGTGGAATTTAATACGGCGGTTGTGCCACAAAGTCCGTATCGTTCGAAATATTAACGCGGTTAGTAGATCGTAAATTTATCTCGCGAGGCGAGGCGTTACCAAATTGCGGTAACAATCCAAACATAAACCTGGGCCTGGGCATTTAGCCGTATCGCTACAGCGATAAATCGTTCGACTCGGTGATGCGGAATCTCGTGGAGCTAGGCTGACCCTATTTTTTCCTCCGCCTTTCGAAGTTTGTCGAGGAAAGTCGAAAGAAATGATAACACAGACGAAAAGTGACAATTCCTTTCAAATTTGCACCGACTTTTTCTCTTATCATCAATTTTGCCTCTTACTATCTCTCGGCAAATTGATGTTAGTTTGCAACTGGTGTAAAAATTCGCCAGAACGGATGAAGGGGAATAGCAGTAAGCAGAAAGGCTGCGTCTACAATCAGTCGGAAGACGTTGACGCACAACCTTGATTGTTATCTGTCGGCTGTCAGTTGTGAGGTTGGTGATTGGTACGTACGACATGCATACGACACACGACGTATCGTAGAACAGACCTTAGACCTAAATTCGGAGAAAAAGCATGGAGAGGTTCTGAGGAATCAAAATCAGGAAAGGTGTC